TAAATGTTATAAATATTTTACATAATTGCATACTCACAAACATTCATCATGTACCACTGCTATTTTTAATGTACTGTATACAGGTATTCCTACACATTACTACATTTCATACAATGTGTAAAAATCATCTCACAGATTGCATATACATATATTAAATACTTTCATGAATATATTATTCATCATTCAACTTCATAAATACAGGACAACCACATTTCAATAATGAATCGTTTATATTTTAAATTATTTGATACAGTTCTCTATATTTTATTACTGTTGATAACACAAAAGATGGGTTGGATTATTTATTATTATGGTAAAAATATTGTATATTGTGTTTTTATCGTGATATGAGTCTTTCAGGATCAAGGTGGTCGTCAAGTATGGATTTGTCCTGCTTGTGGCAAGCAGGATGATGGATCGCCGATGGTTGGTTGCGATGATTGTGACGCATGGTATCATTGGTAAGTGAAAAAAAAGAATTTAGCGCACTAATTTCGGGCAGTACATTCACCTATTACAATGCTCAGAACAGTTAAATGACACTACATTTGCCATTTTATTACCATGAATCTAGGCAAATCTGCATATTGATAATAGATAAGTAATCAACATATCACCTTCCCTTCAGTAAATATAGCTTAATTTAAAAGAAGAATAAAAGAACAGTTCAACATAATAATTGAATCTTTTATCAGTACTCTAGAATGATCTTACAATCTAACATACATTTCAATAGTGGTTCTAAATTATAATGAATTATATATTTCAATCTAAAATGTTTTACAATATAAGAAGAATTTTTTGTTGGAACCATGATTGTTACTTAATTTATATATCTTTAATCATTTAGGGTGTGTGTTGGTATGCAAGTACCACCAGCTGACAACGAGGACTGGTATTGCCGCTTTTGTATAGCTAAAAAACAAGAACTGCACCATGATAAGAAGAAGAAAAAGAGGAAGAAGAAGGTTAAAGTTGCAGCCTAGTACAAGCTACCCGGATCTTGTGTAAGATCCGGTCCTGCTATTCAAACCTCAACCAAAGTTAAAAAGAACAGCAAGCTCAGAGTGGGAACTTTAAAGAATAAGAAATTATCGAAAACTGAAATGAAGATACAAATGAAGTCATTAAAAGAGAAAACTATACCCATCAAGGGGAAAGCAGGAAAGACTCTCATGAAAGTTAAGACTGTAAAGAAGAAGAGTAAGAAGATAAAAGATAGTGCAATTCAATTGACTTAAAAAGTGTTACCTTTTGTGATCATTGTCACAGATTCAAAGAAACTTAATTTTAACACGTTGATTGCTAAATAATTCTAAGGTAATAAATTATGTATCCAACCTATTTTTTCAAGTTAATTTTTCAACATAATTACTTTTTTTATGTAGATAAATGAATTACATAAAAATTATATTAAATATAATTAAATATGAAANAATAATTCTAAGGTAATAAATTATGTATCCAACCTATTTTTTCAAGTTAATTTTTCAACATAATTACTTTTTTTATGTAGATAAATGAATTACATAAAAATTATATTAAATATAATTAAATATGAAA